TTGGTTAATTGTAATTAGGCTAATAGTCTAAAAGGATAGATTTTTTTGAGTTTTTTTTTATTTTTTGGTTCTTTTCTATTTTTTAAAAGTGATGTTAGAGTAATTATTTGTATGGTTATACTTGCAACTTTTGACTACTGTATCTTCAATTTTTATACAATTAAATACCAAACCAAAACAAACCTAACCAAGTCTTAAGTTCTATTAAATGGGGTCGGTTACATGAATCTTTCTTCTCCACTTGACTCTATCAACGACCATTTGATTAGTCAAATTAAAGAGATTCATATCTCTATTTACTACACTAGCCCACGTTAATTTATGTTCGCCCCTTTCCCTAACACTTCCATCTATCGTCACTATATCGTATCTTTTCACTACTGTTTCTGTTGATTTCTGTTGTATATGACCAAACCATCTCAATCTATCAGTCACTGCCTCTGTTGTACAATTAAATACCAGTCATCTTGAAAAATTTTAAAATCCCCTAGATATTGATTTGTGATTATGTATCAATTTTAGGTAGTAAATAACAATCTCAATCAAACAATCAGTATAAATCGACACAAGGATTTTACATGAAAAAACCACAATTGGAGCTCCTCCAATTATGATAAAAAAAAATCACAGGCAAAAGTCATAAAACAATCTACTAAGAAGACATAAAGGAATTATACAAGTGTACTCTCAATTACCTAGCGAATCTACGCCCGAATCGAACCGATCCCTGTGTGCCTCTTTCAGCCCTGTCTTCACTTAGGAATTGTCTTGTACAACGTTGAATCCACAATGTCGATGTCGAATCATGACAATGAGCCACTCTAGAATCCACCAAAGTTTCAAGCCCAAATTCCTTAGAATCCACCGAAGAACAACTCTCTCTTTTGATATAATCCACTCAATTCATGATATGAACTCTCATAGATATCAAAGGAAATAAGCAAAGAAGTTCTAGATGAAAACCCTAATATCCAAGAAAAAGATCTAGAAGCCGTATACCTAAAATCGGACTAAAACACATATTTATAGAAAATAGGGCCGCAATCTTCACTTGAGCGCAAGAATGGCCGCTTGAGCGGAAGAAAACAACTCCCAATACTTTTGCAGGTGAGTGAAACTTTTGAAAGGTTGTGATCTTCGCTCAAGCGTAGGAATGGCCGCTCAAGCGAAAAAACAACTTCTACCGGGCAGCTTGATTCCCGATATAGTCAACAAAGTGACAAATATGATAAGATTAAGATCACAAACTCCTCTGCATAGGCACAATTCGGGTTGGATTCGCATTTAAATACTCATAATCTCACTTAAATAAAAGATCGAATAAAATTATAACTGAAAAGAGTTTTGTCAAACGGGATTGCCAAGAACTAAAACCTAACACATCTAAAAACAAAATTCCAAAATTACTTTAGAGAATCCGGAGTCATAACTAAAATTCTTAAATACGTATCCAATATATATATATATATATACACATACACATACATATTAATTGCAACTTTTGCCAATATTTTAGCTATTTAAGTTTGATTTGAAAACTTTTACAAATTTTAAAATTTGTATAAACTTGATTCATTTTACTTTTTATGTTACCAAACCAAGTCAAATGAGCAATTAATTGTTCAAAATGACATTTCATTTTTTAAATTTTGTTTTTCTATATGTCAAATAATTTTGTTTTTAACTTTAGCTTGGTTGAATTTTTGACAAAATAAAAAATCACACAAATAAGATCAAACAAGACACAGGCGAGTTGCCTATTTAGTTATGATAAGATTTTAATTATGACTCATAAAATTTTTAGTTATATCTCATGTGTTGTTTGATTATGATTTTTTTTTTCAATTATGACTCAAAAAATATAAAATTATGCCATTTTTTTTTTAATTATAAGGTACATATAATAAATATTATTTGAGAGGTGTATACCATAATCTTTTTCTTCATATATATTATCTAACGAACTCTAATGAACATTTCATGTGATGCATATACAGAGATTTTTATTGATAAATCCCATTTGGAAGGGTTTTAATCCAAGAAGTCCATGAAAGAATTTTTTAACCCACTTAGTCCCATGCATTTATAGTTTTATTCCATAAAATCATTTTTATTGATTTACACTATTTTGTTGGACTCTTATACCCTTATATTTAATATTGATATTTAATGTTGATATTTAATGATGGGAAACGAGAGAGAAGGGAAAGGATCAATGCATAGGAAATTTCATACAAAAATTAAATAACATTGATGTTATTATTTTATATTATTATATACTGTGAATATATTTTGAATCGACAATCCATTAAAAATAATGTGAACACTCTCTCTCATCTGATGTGAATATATTTTTAATTGACAACACATTAAAAATAATGTGAACATTATCTCTCATCTGATATAAACGTTCACAATACCTTTCCGAAAAATTCTCTCTCATCTAATGTAGTGATGTGAATGTTCACAACATGTGAACCTTCTTATTTTTAATTGACAACACATTAAAAATAACGTTCATTATATTTTTAATTGATAACACATTCATATTCACAACATGTAGTGATGTGAATGTTCACGACATGTGAACATTCTCTCTCATATAATGTATAGTTATGTGAACGTCATCACATTCGTATGTTTTGGTATGAATATTCACATCATGTAATTGACAACACAATGACAAAAATTCATTTCAATTAAGGCTTGTGACTGTGTAATTTAATGCAATGCTGATGTGAACCTTAACATCACCATTATCACAACGTCATCTGATGTGAACATTCACATTCACGTCATCAATAAAGAACTACTTTTAATTTTTTGTGTGTAATATATATCAATATTAAATAGTGGTGTGTAGTTAATGTCTTTTTTGGAGTGAAAACATAATGACAATCAACATTAAATATATCAAGATTAATGAAAGCAGGAGAGATTTAGAGTGTTTTGGTTTTCTTACCTCAAATAAGGCCTAATAGAATAGTAAAAAAGAATATGAGTTAAATAGAATAAAACTCTTAAAAATGAGATTTATCAAAAAAACTCCCAACTATATATATATATATATTATATAAGGAACTTTTCATGCGGTATTCCAACGACATGAACAAGGCACCTTACAAGACATGAACGAGTCACCTCACAATTGAAGCTACCTCGTCAAACCAAACAACATGCTTATTCCTTAATATATGTTTTGTACTACGAAATGGGAAATCCTAATTCTATGATTTGTTTATATATATATAAAATATTTTGTAAATGTAGTAGGCTTTCTTTTAAAGGGTTTAGAGAGGATGCAGAAACCAAACAATTTCATAGGGGAAATGTTATATATCATACGTATCCTACTAGAAAAATGTATAATTTTATCATAAAATTTTGTAACAGTACTCACAAAATATAAAATCTTGTCATAAATTAATGTAACAAAATATTTAAAATTTTGTGATTGATATTGCAAAAGTTTGTGACTTGGTTAAGACATTTTTTATTATATTAATTTGTGACAAGCTTACACATTTTATAATTAATATTACGAAATTTTATAATAAAATTACACATTTCACTGCTGGAAATTCTGGTTTTAGAGGCGTTTAAAAAACGCCGCAATAGGTCATAAAAACGCCGTTAAATATTTTTGTGGCGTTTAGCACCAAACGTCGAAGATGCGGCCGTCGCTATAACTCTGTGACGCTTTATAAACGTCGCTATATGCCAATAGGCGGCGTTTTCTAAAAACGCCGCTAAAAGTTCTGCCAACGGTAACATGACGTCATCATGCTATTTAGCGACGTTTTAAAAACGTCATCGTATATCTGATGCTATTTAACGACGTTTTTAGAAACGCCGTGATAGCCCCTTTTTTTTTCTTTTTTTAATTGTGCTAATTTTAGGTTATTGAACCCAAAAAAAACCTATAATAAAACTGAAAAATAACACTAATATGAAATAATAACTCCCATTCACATAGTAAAATCTTATCAAATGAATTACATTAAGGAGTCACCAAAAAAAAAAAAAAACATTCACACACAAATCGTTTGAATTACATTAAGGAGTTACCAAAATTGGATGTCCCTCTCTATGCATAGGAATCTGAGTTCACCAAAATACAAATCTGGACATTTGAACCAACTTGATATTCTTATTCTCATTCACAATAACCACATTCACACAAATCATTGTCCTACCATATCAACCTAGTTCACCACAATTGGATGCCCCTCTCTATGCATTGCGTCTCTGCAATTATATTCGGAATCTGAGTTTTGTTAACTTGTAATCCAACCTCTCCATCATTGTCTCCAATGCACTTTTTCCATTTATCGCTGTTGTTCCCTGAACTTAAAAACATGAATACAATTTGGGGGGAGGGGGAGAGAGAGAGAGAGAGAAGTTGATATCAGTAATCATAAATAATAGAAAATGCATCTAACCGTTGATAGCAATTCCAAAATCTAACAATATGCCAAGACTTGTACTAAATTTGGCACCAATATTAGCAACGTCAACATGCAACAACTTTAATGGCATCTCCATTAGAGCATTGTGCACTTCATAATTGATGCATATATATTATCATGTGTACTTTTAATAGCTTTAGTTTCGTTTTTACTTCAGTCGTCAAGCATGTCATCTTTGCTAATATATAAAAGTAGAACACTAATTTTGTGTATATTTTTCATTTCCCTAAACTATCCAAAGAAAATTAAAATATGCATTATTAAAATCCTTTTGCTTCTATATTCATTTGAGGGTAAATGTTCAAGTAAACACATTATTCTAAAGAACTCCCCACAACTGCCTAGAACTCCCAATTAGTTTTAAAAATTCTCTTTCCTAATTAAGAGGCTACTTAGTACACCTCTTTCTCTCTCTCTATGCACTATTGTTCAAAAATTGGCTAACTTAGTGGTTCTTTGTGGCACTTGCACTCATGTAATGAGTGCCACCCCACTAGTTTCTATAATATTTCTATGCATTTGATAGGGGTCAAATCCTTTTGATGTTATAGGAGTGGCAGCATATCAAGAGGTTTTAGAGGAGAGTTCAGGCATTGGCAAATTATGCTGATGTAGTAAGAGACAAGCAGTTGCAAAAGTAAGAGAGGGAGTGGGGGTGGTTTGAGACAAGCTGTCAATTTGTCATGATAAGATTCCTTCGTAATTGAACAAAACAATGAACACATCGCACAATGGCACAAGGAGATCAATCACCAAAAATAATATAAAATCATATTTAATGATTAATAAAATTCTCTGTAATTGATCAAACAAATAAACAAATAAACTGTGATAGTCATGTCCATTTGATTTCAATTGAAGTATACTATACAAATACTACTAAAAAGTCAAAAACTTATACGTACCAGCTGAAACTGAGCCATGTGATGTATTACCGCTACATGATGTGGTAGGAAGACTAACTGATCTCTGAACTGCCCATTTTATCATGAAATCTGTGTGTTATTTCTCATGGTATAAGTTTCCTTGAACTTACAATACATACATCTATACTATTTATATTATTATATAATATAATGTGAACACATATTTTAAGGTCCGTCACGCTACCTCTTTGTCCAGAAAAACCATGCCATATGTCTCTGCTTTTCATCATAAAAGGGATAAACATGTAAATATCAAGTCGCCACCGAAGTTCAGAGAAAAATCATGACAGTTTCAACTGCCTACCCTCAACCATATCTCTATTTAAACAGAAATAGAAATTCATATTATGAATTTTACAACAAAAAAAAAGAGGACCAAAACGAATTGCTACGCATTGCATGGGCCCAAATGCTAATATATATATATATGTATACACAAGTACATATTTCTTTTAACAAGGTATACTAATTAGACATTTACATATTTAACATGATATGTACACACAAGTGCAGAATTCAATTAAAGAGAAAGATGATGATGATGAAAGTGAGAAAATGGGTTGACCATGGGGTTTAACATATGGCTAGTTACTGTTCGAGAAAGCTCATGCCCATAGGTGAGAATTATTTTTCTCCAACCACAGAGACAGAGAGCAAGGAAGGTACCCTGAATGAAACAGAAAAGGAATAGATGTATAAATGAAACTGAACTTACCATTAAATTTCACATTTGGCTGGACAAACTCTGGCCAGGTCATAGCAAATTGGATCAGTTAATAATATACATATTAACTGGAACCTAGATCTGGCTTAGACCCAAAATAATTAGGTTCTTTTCTCAGTATCTCAGCTTCTCTAGCTATCTGGATATCTGAAGGCCAAAAATTTTAATGTATAACTTTCCAAATAAAGCGAGGGAGTAATGCTAAGACTATTATAACCAAGACGGAGAGCCAATATGCAGGTGACTTTGCCAGATGGTATATTGTCCTGATGAAGACAAAAAAACATATTAGCTCCACATTGTGAAATGGACAAAATATGCAGTGGTCCTATTTGAATCAAAACACTAACCCGTAATTGGGGAAGATGGGTATAGAATCCAATACCACCACACAGGCATAAGTAATGATTATTGATCCCCAAACTGAAGAATGAGTAAGTAGCAACCACCGCTTAATGTCCATTGCCAAGTGCATATTAACTAGGATAACAACTGCAATCGTCCACAAACTTCCCATGCCCCATATGTCAATAGTGCTCTCCCTATAGGTGAATAAAAGTACATAGAAGAGAACAAGGCTCTGCCATAGTGTGTCAAACATTGTGATCCAGAAAAGGTACATATTGTAACTCTCCTGTCTATGGCCTGCACCATAGAGTTTTGGAAGCTGAAGTAGTGTCTTACCACTCAAGTCCTTGTATAATGTATCTGTGTAGCCAGTCAATATTCTCACACATATAATCAAAGACGATCCTTGACCTGAAGCACACATTACTAGTCAGAAACATGAAAAACGATGCACCTCATTATAGGTGCTTTTATAAACAGTATTAATAAAAATATAACTTCTTTACTTCTCTGGGAGAGGAATATGGTCAGGAGAAAGATTAATACTCACTAGACATGTAGTTAAAAGCATTCACTATGATCAAAATTTACTATCTATCAACAAATTCTAAAAAACTTAAATAGGAGTCTTTAAAATTAATAGATTTACTAGATTTTACTGAGTTAAGAGCCAATTAATAAATAGAAATAAGCAATCACATGGAGAGATACTATTCAACGTGGAAAACCCAAAAGGATAAAAAACCATGGGACAAACAACCACTTGTGCTCCAAGATTAAGTAGATTCAGACGCACAGATGGTACCTGCTTTAACACTGAGCAATTCGCTATCCACTTCTGTCCAGTCTCTCACTTTGACTTCATTCTCCACAAGCTCTGCCCAGCACACGATCACAATGTCCAGTCTCTCACGTCGACTCAGATCAGTGAATTCCATAATTCCAAACAGAATCAACCAATCACACACGAATTCACAAAAATCAAAATCCATAACCACATAGATGACAGATCGAACTCAATATAAACATAGATGAAATCACTGAGACCATTACTGAAAGCAAATCTAGAATCTCATAGTGCAGACTTCACACTCAGTGAAAACAATTTACTGAAACAGAGATGAAATCACTGAGACTAATTGAATTTGAAAAAATAATATTGATTTTTTGGAGTTGACAAATTGAAACTATGCTTAATAATGCTTAATGAAACTCAAATTGAGCCTAACCACATTTCCATCTTATATACTTGATCTCCATCAAGCAAAGCCCATTCTGGTGTGCAAAATGAATAGTTCCCCATCATTTACACAGGAAACTGTGGTGAACTCAAGCAATAAGGTCCGCAACGCATTGCCTGTATCCTGCTTTCAACACTTCCCTTATCTTTATACTACATAATTTTTCCATTTATTTAGCTTAATTGATCTTTTTCTTCTCCTTTTTTTTCTTTTTTTTCTTTTTCATTCTTCTTTTGGTGGAAATAAAGGAATTAGATGTTGTGCTCCATAACATCAGCCAATAAATTAGTGTCAATAAAAAACC